AGCAAGAAGGCGAAGACAATAAAATACTGAAGTTAAGGGTTTCTAAAATACATTTAAAGTGGTGCAACTAATTTCCACAGATGCCAGATGAATGAGTGAATGGAATGTCCGTCTCTCAGATGCCAGATCTCTCAGATGCCAGATGAATGAGTGAATGAAATGTCTGTTGCTCAGATGCTGGATGAATGAGTGAATGAAATGTCCATCTCTCAGATACTGGATGAATGAGTGAATGAAATGTCCGTCTCTCGGATGCTGGATGAATGAGTGAATGGAATGTCCGTCTCTCGGATGCTGGATGAATGAGTGAATGAAATGTCCGTCTCTCAGATGCCAGATCTCTCAGATGCCAGATGAATGAGTGAATGAAATGTCCGGCTCTCAGATACTGGATGAATGAGTGAATGAAATGTCCATCTCTCAGATACTGGATGAATGAGTGAATGAAATGTCCGGCTCTCAGATGCTGGATGAATGAGTGAATGAAATGTCCATCTCTCAGATACTGGATGAATGAGTGAATGAAATGTCCGTCTCTCGGATGCTGGATGAATGAGTGAATGGAATGTCCATCTCTCGGATACTGGATGAATGAGTGAATGGAATGTCCGTCTCTCAGATGCTGGATGAATGAGTGAATGGAATGTCCGTCTCTCAGATACTGGATGAATGAGTGAATGGAATGTCCGGCTCTCGGATACTGGATGAATGAGTGAATGGAATGTCCATCTCTGGGAGAAAATGTCCCATGGAGAGTTGTGTTTTCCTTTTATATTTAAGCTTCGCATTGCGGGCTCTGAAACGGGATTTCCATATTTGCATGGAAGATTTAGGTTCTCTGTTCTAAAAGAGTAGGACCCTGTTTTCTGCACCTGAGAAAGTCCAGGCTTTAAAATGGAGAAATGATTCTTTAAAGCAGGCTTGAGTCTGTAACCACTCTCCCACCTGTCCCCAGTGACTTTCAGAATTGTGCAGGCTCTCCAGGCACTGGGCTTTGTTGCCAGCGCTGTCCTGTCTTCTGTTCAATCTCATTTCTTCCTGTGTGCACCTCCCATTAAGAGAAAGCAAACACGTGGACACCATTTATTTTCTCTTGGCCTGTTATTTAGAAAGTGTGTGCTTTTGAGATTTTTTTTTTTTTTTTTTTGGAGACAAGGTCTCACTTGCCCAGGCTGGAGTGCACTGGTGCACAGTCATAGCTCACTGCAACCTCCAATTCCCCAGGCTCAGGTGATCCTCCCACCTCAGACTCCTAAGTAGCTGGGTCCACAGGTGCACATTTATTGTGCACTTTATTTTATTACACCACCACACCTGGCTAATTTCCCCCCACGCCTGATACAGACAGAGTCTTACTGTGTGGCCCAGGCTGGTCTCAAATCCCTGGCCTCAGCCGATCCTCCTGCTTTGGCCTCCCAAAGCTCTGGGATTATAGGTGTGAGCCACTGCGCCTGGCCTTGCAAATCTTACAGCTACAGAATTATGTATGTCAGAGGCAAAACTTCCTTAATGTCTTCTCATGCCATGCATTATCTCATATAGTCAGAGAAGTATTTAATCAATATTATAAGGAGAAATTTTAAATATGTTAATATTTGAAGAGTGCTTTTACCTGTTTTGTAAATGGTTTTTGTTTTAATCTTTTTCTTCTGGCCCAAACCCAGTAATTTATTAAGAAGAAGCATAGACCATGACTTTAACCCATTGAATCTGTCTGACTGGTTTTCTAATGTGTGAGCTACTTGGTATCCACAAAGACACTTCGTGTGCCCTTCCCTCCCCCCACCCTTACACCTGGGCTCCTTGCACCTGTGCAAATAGCACTGCTTCGTGGAAATCAAAAGAAATAAAAAACCCCTGCAATTCTGAGTTTTCTTTTTAAAATAAAGTCACTCGATGTCCAATTGATTGCATTCTAAATTTAGCAAAGTACTTTTTATCTCGAATTAGTTTTAAGACTCTCAACCGAGTTCTTTTAACACATAGTGAATTCTTTGGAATAGGAATATTTATTTTTCTTGAATGGGCTGTTTGTTAATGAACACAACTTAGTTAAAAGCTTATTTTCTTACCTGCACTGTCTCCTGTGAAATTTAATTGCTATTAAACAGGAAGTAGGGGAGAAACATACACATAACCTGTGTGTTCTCTTATTCCTGAGAAATCATACTTCCATTGTTCTGCACCAGTAAATTATCAAGAATTATGGTCAAATTCCAAATGCCTGGATGCTGGCCACTTTTATTTGAGAAAAAATGTCGAGGCTGTCTCTTTTCCTTTAGAGAAAATGATAATTACAGCATCTTCCTAAGTCCTCAGCATCTCCTCACTTAGGGGTTCAGGAAATACATAGAGACCACCCCTTAAACATAAAAATTAACAGGATTTAGGTTATTCCATCTTTTCCTCTACAGTAGAAGACAGCTATGAATAGGGCGGGCCCCTGTGTGAAACGAAGGCACCTGGGGCTCCTCCGAACACACGGCATGTTCACGTTTTCTTTCTGGTTTTCCCCCCTTTCTTGGGTACAAAGCTGCGCTGCTCCGGCCAGCTGTGTGCTGCCAGAACGAGGCTGCCGAGATCCTCAAGTGCTGGGGGGCGAGGAATGACTCCGAAGCATTTTATAAGATCCAGGCAGCATCTCAGCGGGTGGAGGAACTTCCCAAGGCACAGCACCCGAAGGCCATGTCTCCCAGGAGCTGCCTGCCCCGGGGCGCCCCCCACCGCTGGAAGAGCTTGGGCAGTGCGTGTTGGTGAAGTGAAAAACGTGGCTGAGACTCATCCGTGGCAGAATTCAACTGAATGTATTTGTGTGCCGGCTCTGCCCTCTTTAAGTAAAGCACACAATTTTGCAATACCCTGAAAGGCAATGATCTGTTTTCACTCGCCTCTTAGCTAAAACAAACCTGAATCGTTTCAGCAGGTGAGCTTATTCTCAGGAAAATTAGAGCACGCTGTTTGAAACGGAACAAACGTGAAAAATACCTCACTCTGAGATGGCAAAGGCCCCGCCACCTCCGGGTGCTGCTCACCTGTCCCTTGGCTCCAGCCTTCATCCCCAAATCTGGGCAAGGCCACTGCCAAGTAGCTTTGTGAGCTCCAAAACACACAGGCTCACCTGTTCTTAGCCACACCTGCCGCTGTCACAGTCCTCAGGTCGGGAGCTCTGAGGACCCTGCCTGGATTTCTGGTGAGGTCTGGGGCTCCCCACGGGCCATCCGGCCCCTACAGCATCTTGTGTGCCCTCCCTGGCTTTGAGTCCAGCTTCGGCTTTTGGCTAATCTCTATTTTTAGGGGTTTTTTTAAATCACTGTGAAGGTTTAAAAAAATTGTATGTGTAACATTGGGCAAATTATTTAAAGTTGATAAATTTTCATTCAGGAAATCACAGGTTATGATTCCTTCCACTGCCCATCAAGGTCACCGTAGTTCCTGCAAAGTTTGGGTCAAGATTTATCTTCAAGATAGCACAGCACAGTTTTAAAAGAACTGAGACTTAACCCACAGTGGTGCTGACAGCTCTATGTGACAATAATATACAAGTGAGTGTAATTTCCACGGCCAGCCTTGCCGAGTTAGCTCCACTGACACAGCCCGCCTGGCGATCCACAGCACCGAGGGTTACCATGCTGATTAGCTGGGCAAAGCTAACCTTTAAACAGAGCCAGCTGAGATGCAGACTTCAAGTCAGAAAGTTTCTTAGCTTCTCAAGGAATGCACCATCCTGAGTTGGTGAATTTCTTTTTCCTCTCTCACTGGTAAAGGAGCATGCTGATGAGGGCCCCCCAGCTTCTGCTGAACCTCAACCCTATCTTCCCGCTGCTCAAACTGGAAGAGGGATTGGAGCAGCACTCTCTTTATCCCCACCAATATCGCTGGACGAACAATGCCACATAGCCCCGCTCACGTGCACACCACACCCAGAGGGCCATGTACTACCATAGCCTATGCTCTGCACGCTTCTTTCTTTCTTCTAGTTAATGTATTGTCTCTGTTCTGAATCAGGGAAAACACCCCCTGGGGCAGGTGATAGTCTGGGGACCAAAGGCCTCTGACAATCCCGTTTGTCCTGGAACACAGACGCTTCCTCAGGGTCACCTTGAGCTTCCCCTTGGTGTCTGGTGTTTCGTCTGGCTGATGGAGGCCCGGACAGGACTAGTGGCCGGTCAGGAAGTGGCAGGACACTGATGACTTGTCCAAGGAAAACACGCGGGGCCAGCATGCCCAGATCAGAGGCTTCCCTGGGGTCCGGCGAGCTCTGAAGCGTGTGTCAGGCTGTAAAAGAGCAGGAGGGAGATCAGAGGCCTGGAGCTGCCGTGGGAACTGCAGGGCACACATGGCCATTAGGCGATGTCTGTGCCCTGCAGAGAGTGTTCCTGTGCCTTAGGCATTTTCAGAGAAATACACAAGCTTCCTCTGGGCCATGAGGTCACTCATTCATTCAACAAACATTTATTCAAAGAACAATAGTCCAAGTGAATGCAACCTAGTCCAGTTGAATGTAGAGTTCATCTGTATTTGGAGAATGTAGACGAAACTGTGTGGCACCATTTAAATCAGGAAGGATTCCCTCCCAGTTCCAGCCAGTGGACATTCCTGATACTTGTCACTTCCAGAAGAATGGTAATAATGTGGTGAATGTGGAGGCAAATTCGTCAGTGAATTCACAAATTAAAAGGAAAACATTGCTACTCAGACTTTTAGGGGTGAGTCAGGCACACGTGCATCCCCTTCAAAGACCAACGATTCACATGTTGTTCTGTGTCAGATGGCCGATGTTGATATAGAGAACGTCCAAATTAGCTAGGCTTTTGAAACAGATAATGGCTAAAACGTTCAGACGTGCCTGTGATGCTTCTGGTAGGGGTGAGAACCGGGGGTGCGTTATCCCTCAAGCTTTTATTCCCTGACCGTGAAGTGGCCTGGGGCAGCCTTCTGTTTTCTGCTGCTCTGAAGAATGTGTCTTTAAATTTGTCTGGCTTCTTTTTTTCTCCTTTAAGTTTTTGAGAGTCGATCAAGATAAAGACAAGGATTGTAGCTTGGACTGTGCGGGTTCGCCTCAGAAACCTCTCTGCGCATCTGACGGAAGGACCTTCCTTTCCCGCTGTGAATTTCAACGTGCCAAGTGCAAAGACCCCCAGCTAGAGATTGCGTATCGAGGAAACTGCAAAGGTGAGCTACTGTTTGATCATTCATCCAAAGATGGGGACATCCGTCATCAAAATGAATGCAAACATATTTTCATACTTGATAACGTTTTACATTTACAAACTCGAGTTTATGTTGGCATTTTTTTCACAGCATGTAAGGAAGAAGAGTAATTTCTATGAATTTTAAGAGCAGAGTCTTTTTTTACTTATCTAATATTCTTTTCTTAGAATGCCTTATTCCATTGAATAAGGAAGAAATTTATCCAAATATTTCAGTTTTTTCCCCAAAGTCTTCTAAAATTATTCTCAGTAAGATTTCTTATGATTCTTTCTCATTTTTCTTTTTAGCAAGTGGGATGTGTACAATAGCATGCGTGCAGTTTTCAGTGATTTTTTGGTGTTGATTTTGTACTCTCAATTTTCAATTTTGCCAGTTTAAGAATTAGATGCAGAGTTAAGAGTCTAATGCTTAGAGCTAAAGATTGAAATGCTTCCTACATCAATGAAGGGTTTGACTCAGCAAAAGATGCTGATATTTCAGAGTTATTTTCAGAAAGAGATTTACCTTCTTTGTCATATTATCTAGGAAAAAAGACCACAGAGACTAAAAGTGCCTTTGAGATGATGTTCTGCATCATCTGGCAATTAGCTTCAACAGTCCTCTTAAATGAAACAAGACAGCAACCACACTGCAAACCAGCACTATGAGTGCCGTATCTAGACCCATGCTTACCCAGGTGTTGAATAAGCTTGTTCTTCCTTTCATAATGCAATATAATACCAGGTAAACAGATTTCAGTTACTTTTGCAGACGACAAAGGCAGAATTTTGCCATGTTCTTTAGGCCTGAGAGTTCTTCCTACTGATGTTACGAAGACATTCCTGTACACAGTCACAAGGATGTTTCACTCAATGCCAGACCGTATGTCCAACAGTGGTCCCATAACGTTATAATGGAGCAGATGTAGAGACCTGTTGGATGGCACTTGATATTGGCATTGAGATCAAGTAGGGGAAATAACTGATGTTCAGTAATGATGCCGGGACATTCTGTTTTCCATATGGAAAGATAGGTATATCAATGAAGATGTATATATCACCTAAGTGTGTGTAAGTATACTCTATGATGTTCACACAATGATGAACTTGCCTAAAGGTGTATATTAGTTTGTTCTTACACTGCTAATAAAGACATACCCAAGACTGGGATGTTTATAAGGAAAGGGGTTTAATGGACTCATAGTTCTGCACAGCTGGGGAGGCCTCAGGAAACTTACAATCATGGTGGAAGGGGAAGCAAACATGTCCTTCTTCACATGATGGTAGGAAGGAGAAGTGCCGAGCAAAAGAGGGAAGCCCCGTATAAAACCGTCAGATCTCGTGAGAACTCACTATCATGAGAACAGCATGTGGGAAGCCACCATGGGGGTTAAATTACCTCCCACCAGGTCCCTCCCATGACACGTGGGGAACTACAATTCAAGGTGAGATTTGGGTGGGGACACAGCCAAACCATATCAAGGTGATTTCTCAGAATTTATCCCTGTTATTAAGAAACACGTGACTTTACCCAGATTTAGTACTCTGAAAACAAGGAACAGCATGAACTACCTCTGGAGCCCCGGTCTTTGCCCGGTGGCAAACCCAATCCCTGTGCATTTATCCGCCTGCAGTGTGCACAGACTCCTGATTTAAAGGTCAGACTCCTCTCCACATGCACCTGTGGCTTTGCCCATGACAAATGGCTATTCATTATCAAGGATTTTTTTTTTCTTCTGAAATTACAGTTTGTTCAAAGTCAGAGTAGTTCAGGACGCAGCATTTAAAGGCTACACAAATGCCAGGTATGGGGCACGGTAGGTAGGCAGGTAGATTCTCCAGTAAGAGTCCCTGGGAAGATGATTTTATTATACATCTGAGGGCACAAGAGAGAATGGTGCTGTGAAGCTTAAAGTCCCATTCTGGTTTTGCGGTCAGATGCTCTTTCTAAAGTGTTTATCACATAATGGTGTTATCCTCCCCTCATGCTGGGGGAGTCATGAAGACCCCGGAGCAAAAGCCCACTCAGAGAGTCCTATGAGGACCGACAGGAGGGCCTGAGAGGGAAGTAGGTGGAGCCAGGCTGGCAGGGCTGGGTGCTGGATCCCGGAATTTTCGTGACTATGGAAAATGGAAAGACACAAGAAGTCGTGGACAGAACAGGGATGCATGAAAATTGCCATTCTGCATGGTGCATGCTTCCCTGAGCTCACCAAGCTGCCCCATCCCAGCACCCACCTTGGGCCTTTGTCCAGGTGTGCCAGGCCCCAGTGTCACCAGCACAACTGCAGTGAGTCTTGCTGTGCTGAAACCCTGGCGTGCTTTAGAAAGGACCACAAATGGAGGGGTGAGCTACTTTCAAAGGGGAAATGGAACTTTAATTCACTCATTAACCTCAATATGCTACTGAGATTGCAAGGAACAAAATGCAGTAAAAAAGTATTTGATTTATACTTTAAATAAATGAAGTGCAGTGGCAGTATCATAGCCGGATCCCAAACAGAAAGTTTAAAGATGCTGACGTGAACTTAGTGGGACAGGTGTAGCAAGCACCACAGCAAATGGCCTGGGCTTGTCGTGGGCCAGCTCATGGAACCCACCCCAGGCCTCAGGATCCATTTCAGAAAGCTGGGCTCTGGAAGCAGCTCATGGGGACTCTGGAAAACCACTTTCTATGGCCTGAGGTAATGCCAGCCCCTTCTAGAAACAGCTAATAGCTGGTGATGATGCTACCCATTGACCCTCCAGTGTACCTGCCCACTGAGGAACTGACTCCATCTAACTTTAGCCCAAATAGAAAATAACAACACTTGGAAAATGTGTGAAAGAGAAAGAACTATATATATATATATATATATATATACACACACACACACATATATATATATTTTACTGTAGTAGAAAAAATAGTTTAAAGTTATTTAAAATACAGATGTGAAATATCTTTCTGTGAAAAAGTCCACAAAAATAAAGATAACATGATTAAAATTGAAAGCATTTGACATTCTTTCACTGAATTGTATACTTGTATGCACTATCTACATTAAAACACACGTTGAAACTTTGACTATAGCAGCAGCAATAGCTGCTCCAGCTTTCTTTGTGGTGTAGGGAAAATAGAATATACCATTTAAAGTAAATGATGTTCTGTAAATGACTGATTTATTTTTTTCCCTAAGCATCCCTTCTTATCTCAAGGAAAAGGAAAATAATTTGTTGAATCTAATGTACCTGAAGTTCTATAGTTCTATATCACTATTTTGTCCTTATACGCTTTTTTTTTTCCTCAGTAGACATTTAGGTTTCAGTAAATTGTACATTATTTTACTTTTAATTCCCTTGGTGAAAACTTGGATGAAATATCTTCGATTCATTTAATGGGAGACACAGACACACACAAATACACACACACATACATACACACATACACACTCACATAAACACACACACAAACTCTTAGTTTATTCAAGTGGACCACTGACATTTCCTGAGCAGCTTGGTTCTATGTGATTCTAAAATTTTATGATCAATTTGCTTCAACCTGATTCTTTTAATAAGTCCTGACATTTACTTGATATTGACACATTTGGTAAATTGGCATTTTCTTCTTACTGAATGATTCCTCGAAGAGCACTGGGGTTGAGAGTGAGTCCACACTGTTCTTCATCAGATAACCTCTCAGGGAGCTTGTCTCTTCATTTGATTCAGTCCAGCACTGGGTTCCCCAGAACTCAGGGACTCTAAGAATCTTTGTCCCTGGCAGCATCCTCCAGATGGGAACTGGCTGGCCTGCTTCTAGCACTGGAAACAGTTTCATGTGAGATTTTCAATAGGATCCCGGACGCTCCCAACACCCAGGCTGTCTTCAGACCCTCCTATGAGGTGGACAGCTGGGGCCCTATGGGGTGGCAGGACACCTCTCTCCACACAAGGGCCAGCCATGGGGCACACAGTGGTGTGCACAGGGCGCCCTCATGGGCGTTCTCCAGAGCCTGGTGGTGCCTACTTTGTGGGGTCATAAGCATAGGACCCCAAAGTGCTGCTTCCCTAGCCTGCCCCAACACTGCAAATTTGTTTACCCTGCATCTGAGAAAGAACAAGTCAGTCTGTTTCTTTGGAGATCAGCTACTCTTTTAAGAAGCATCTTTCAGACTCAAGGACACACGCCCACCAAGAACAGTGCGCCTGCTTCCACGTTTTGCTTCCTTGCACCACCAATGCTCTACTGCTAGAAGTCTTGCTTCGTTGGCTAGGAAGGACAGTGGTACCTTGGACAACTGTCCAGGGATAACATGATTTCCAGCATGCTTCACCCATGAAACCACATGGCCATAGGTTATGGAAAGTCAGCGTGGAGCCAGGTACATGGCTTGAAGGAAGCATATTCTTCTCTCCTTTGTGTCTGACCGATGTGTGTAAGATTCACACTGGAGAAAGACTCAGATGTGATTTGATGCCTTGGCTGTAGTTATAAATCTCAGTTATCTGTGCTGAGAAAAGAGAAACAATTTAAGAATAAATTTAAATATCAGATGATGTACTCATCACAGAAGATTTTAGAAGTGATTACCTATAAAGTCTCATCTTGTGGAAACAAGTGCTGTAGAAGTGGGGAGGTCACAGCACCTCATTAAACTTGGAATTTCATGTCCCCTTTTCTTGCCATGTTCCCTTAGGTAACGCCAGTTGGATATTCCATTGAAAGGCTGCGAGGAAGCCTCTGCTGTAGCTGTAGCCTTTGAGGAGGAGTGTGAGGGATTTCTTAGACAAAGGAGGGAGGATGGTCGGTCCATCTCTCTGGGTGGAAGCTCGTCATCTGTGACCCTCTCTGGCTCGTGGGTTTTTCAGGTGTCTCCCCAGCATGTGACTTCAGATCTTTGCCATACCCAGCTGCAGGGTCAAAGTGACATTCTTTTTGGATAGGGAGAACAAATGTCAATTAAACACAGATGTCCTTTTTGGTAATATCCTCATTAGTTTGTT